TGGGCTTGTTCGATGTGAAATTATGAGATAAAGTTGAAGTTTTATTTGGATATGTGATGGATTTTTCATGTGGTATGTTTTCTCATAAATAAAACTTTATAAGTTGTAAAATTATTAAAATTATCTCAACTTTTTGTACAATCTTACCAAATAAACATAAGTTTATAAAATTGCATAATACACTATCACAAATATATTCTTAAAAAAATATAATATTTATTAATCAAGTAGGCGTTAGGCCCTGCGATATCATATCACGATATGAAATCGTGAGATGAAATCAACGTTTGAACATGCAATTTCATGTTGATTTCAAATCATGACATGAAATCTCATTTTCTCCAAAAATCATGATTCAAAAATTTCAAATCATGATTTGAGTTTTTTTTTTAAATACAAAAATTGACCCACAAGTTTGTATTTTGTTAAAGACAACCCCCATTTATACTTCATTTGTCCCTGATTACTTGTTCATTTTTGAATTGGCATATCTATTAAGAAAACAATGATTGACATAGTGAATTTACCATTTTACCCCTATTAATTATGAAGAGGATGAATTAAAAATTTAAGATTTTTAAGAAGTTCCACATTTTTCAAAGTAATTAATTTAGGGTATAATTGTAACGACCCTTTCGAAAGGATACTACCACCTAAGCAAGAAAACTACTGAAATACTTGCGACAATTAAAAGAGTTTTACTATGGCCATACTGATTGTAGTTTAATAGAGGGATTAGGTTCATAAAGGGAAAAATTAGATAAGGATGTGCATCTTGTACATTTAAACATTTATGTGATGTCAAAATTGATATGGCACGGAGTTTTAACTTATGACGGAAAAACCCTCCCAAAAATAATTTAAGCAAATAACCGATGAGCTTTTCATGCATATATTATCTTCACACTTAAGGATGAAATAATATGAATATTACCCATTTCGAAGTATCGAAATCAGCCCGTTCATGCTTCACACAAATATTCAAAACCAGCCAATAAATTATGAGATTTTTATGCATATATATATATATTGTCCTCACATTAAAAAATATATATATATATATCTAACTTTCGAGTACTCAACTAGGTGATTCATGCTTCATACCATCATTCAAAATTAGTGGTAAATTTAATATATTACAAGACTTGGGCTTTCACGCCCCAAAAGAACAAAAACACATAGCCATACTTAATTTACAACCCATGGTGACACGATCAGTAAATATACAACAAAAAGATCATGTACAAGTCCCAAGGTTTATACAAAATATAGATGCCTAAATGCAAATGTGATCTTCCTTAAGGCTCTCAAAATCTCCCTCTCCAATGGCCAACTTCACGCATCCACTCGCTCATTCCCTACGATAGAAACAACGATCGCTAAGCATATAGCTTAGTGGTGCAAAACTATAGTTTTGGAGCCATCCGATTCACAAAATAAACCTTCTCAAGTCATAAGCAACATAATTGAACATAATTAATAAATCAAGTAAACAATATATAAAGAGTATCAAGTTCGATATTTAAAGATCCAAATGTCAAGAACGTTCATAGCATCATTTTCCAAGAGATTCAACAACAAGGTTCGCCCAATATGTACATCATGTCTTCACACCAAGCACAACCAAGTATCAAGAAGGGTCGACGCCCTATATCAAGAAGGGTCAAAGCCCAATAATCAAGAGAACCAAGAACCATATTAAAAATGGTTTTCTAATTCGTACTTAAAATGGACAACATCCATACTTAAGACGAACTAAAAATCCAGAGTCAAGATGGCAACTGATCCGAATCAAGAGGCATGCCAAGAGTGACAAAGTCACAGCCACAAGAAGGACGAGGTCCCAACAAGAGTGCCAAGTGATCAAACAATCCGTACAAGTGGGCGAGGTACACAAGCATCTTTAACTTCTCAAAGGATACCAATCCACACAATGCAAAGTGACAAGAGGTAGCCAAGGTACCAAGATCCAATTTCAAATATACTAGAGGTTAAAAGAGTGCAAGTACAAGTTTATACACAAACCTCGGTGCCTTAGCAAAGAAACAGTCCAACCAACGTATCAAGGTCCTCAACTTGTTCACGAGTATATACAACCTTTAAAATACAATTAAACAACTTATTTAATCCCTAGCAGCTCAATAATATTGATGTAAAACGGGATTATCATCACAAGTAAAATTAGCCTGCACAAACACAACAATGCTCCAAAACAGTGATTCTGGCCAGCCTAGTACCTCATGTCGCAACTTAGATTTGAAACGGAAAACAGCAAAACTAGACTTTATACCCTTCATGAAATATGTAGATACATCTCTTAGGGTTGCAAACAAACAAGAATCACCGCAAAAGGTATTTTGTACAACAAGATATAGTCAAAACACTAACAGCTGTTCATACAGAATTTGAAATTCTAAAATCTGGACAGAACTTGTCCTATGTTGCGTCCCATATTTCGAGTCTATAACAGCTGAATCAGAGTTTGACATAAACATAAGAGTTGTAGGTCTATCAATTAGCTTTCCAAATCATATTTACTCACTGTAAACTAAGCTCTAGAACGAGAGTTATGCATATAAGACTAAACACTGCCCAGTTCAGCAACAGATTTTGACACTTACCAACAAGAAGTGTGTGTTCTTGAATTCCAACCAAAAGGGCCAAGTTTTCTCTTGTGATTTTGAAGAACAATCTGTTAAGCTAAGGTTCTAATGTTTTTAGACTTGAGGAAAAACGAAATTAATTATAGGGGTTGGAAAAATATATCTTCCAAAGGTGATACTTATCACCTAAACAAAAGTCACCAAAAGGGGCTGCCCAACAAAATGTTGGCTGCCCAAAAAGCATACATATATATCTATATGTATATCCCTTACCTTCCTTTTAAAGTTAAACAAAATTTTAATTAGGATATTACCTAAACACCCCATCACAAATCCTTAAATTACGATAAGAATTTATGCTAAGCAAGTTGGCAATTTTCACAACACTTCAAGTTCCCAAAATGAGACTAAAACATATTCTAGTAATTAAGCAACGGTAAATCGACATGCGACTCTTGGTTAGTATTTAGGGGTGTTACAATAATAGGTAAAAGAAATTGTCCTTTCTTGATTTGTCAAAATGGACAAGTAAAACGGGACAAATAAAAATTGAAAATTTGACAAGTAATTACAGATTGAGGGAGTATCCACTAACCATTTATTTCATATGTACATAAAATTTATTATTCTCATCAACATAAAATTTATTATTACTTTAAACTTGGTGAATATGAATGAGAAAATAGGAATTGATTTGGTTAATATAAATAAGAACGGAGGGAGTAATACTTTTTGGTTTTTCATAATAAAAAAAAGGAAAGTGCTAAATGGCCAGAAAATTTGGCCAGAATTTGGCTAGAAAATTAAAAAAAACTATAATATTTTTTTTAATTTTAAAATAAACTGATGTTTTTTTATATTTTTTAGTTAAAAGGTATTAAAGTTAAAAAGGTAAAAATGTTTAAAAAGATAAACACATAGATAAAATATCATTCTAGTCAAATTTTCTGTAAAAAAAACTTATTTTTCAGCTACATATGGAAAAGTTTAAAGCAATTTAATATAAAAAAGGATAAAATTGGTAATGTATGTTTGATAATCACTACTTCTAATATGTTTGATTTTAGCACAAAATTAATGCGCTGAAAATGTGAGTAAGACATTCACTTCACTTCAGAGGGCAGAATAAGCCAAATGAAGATGACCTTCTCAGTGAAATAATCATAGTTAGAGTAGGAAGAGTTAGATGAAACAGGCTTTTTCTACTTTTTACAATGCTACAAAACTTTTTTCTTACTTAAGTGGAGAACAAATAGATTTGTAATAATTTATTATGCGATTTTATAATTTTTTTGTTTATTTGGTAAGATTGAATAAACAATTGGGGCTATTATAATAGTTTTACAACTTATGAAATTCTTATGTTTATAAGAAAATATACAACACAAAAAGTCAAAATCACATGTTCAAACAAAACTTCAATTTCATCTCATGATTTCATAGTATGATTTCATATTATAGATTAGGAATGTTCTAAAGCTTTACGACAAGGAAAGACAAAATCTTTAGGATTCGTAACACATTGTTCAATATTCAACGTACGTTAAGATTTTCTAGATTTTGTTGAGGGACATTTTACAAATTAAAGATCAAAAAAGAAATAGATAATGGATGAAAGCAAAAAATGGGGGTCTTGTACCCATATGTGATGGACATTTTTTTTAGTATCGGTGTTATAATAGAGAAAGTTAGATACTATAAAATGATTTATTATAATCCTAAAATGCCAAAGCATATGGACCTTAGTTGTCGAGTTGTTGACTTTGATGTTGTTTGTGCTCATATTTCTTTATTGAATCCATATATTTGTGATAGCCGAGGTGAATCTATGTCATGCTCAGTATTTGATTGAAATGAGATGCATCATCATCTCATATTCTATTAATATTATGTTATGTATATACATTGACATTAGATTGAACATGAGTAAGGATCGAGCACATGAAGATCGTCCATGTTGCGGTCATTTATATTATGAGTATGCATGTCATAAAGGGGAAAATGCAAGAGAGGAGAGATTGACATTTTACGTCATGCAGATAATTAATAAATGAAGAATATCATCACTCTCATGTGTGAATAATGGAAAAAAGGGCAAGGTAATTTGCGTCTTTCCCTTTGAAGACCTCTTTATATCATATAAACAAATTGGAGGTCGGTAAGCTAAAATTCAAAACTCAAATCGAACCAATGATAAACTATGGATGATGTATAAAGAGTAATAATTTTTCTATATCTAGTAAGTTTTGAAATTCCAACATCTCATATAACAACTTTTAACACCACAAGATTAAATGATTACACACATTTTGAATTTAAAATCATAAAATTCAGAAATACTCTTTTGTTTCTTATACTTTGTGCGCAGTCAAACTAAGACATTTAAATTGAAACGGGATGAGTACTATACTTGATCAGGCATGGGGAAATTTAAACTCTTATAAGAGGTGAAACCTCCATCTATCACCAAGTTATGGCCACTAACATACTTGGCATCATCACTAGCCAAAAACAGAGCAGCATTAGCCACATCAATTGGCTCACAGTAAGCTCCTTTCAACTCACTCGTGCGATGCAACATTTTAACAAGAACTTCAGGTTCCAATTCCGGGTAGTGCAATTTTATCTCATCCAAATAGAACGGGGTTGGAATGGCAAAGGGCGATACACAATTGATTCTGATTCCGTGCTCACTTAGTTCTGCTGTTACGGATCTCATGATTCCGATCACACAGGATTTGGTTGTCGAATACGTGGGCTGCGCTAGACCTCCTATCACCCCTGTGACACTAGCTGTGCACAATATGGAACCGGTTTTCCGTGGGATCATCACCCGAGCTGCGTGCTTAATTCCTGCTATCACCCCACGGACGTTGATAGCCATGACCCGATCAAATGCATCGAGGTCAAGATCGGCTATGGTCCGTGGAGTACGACATGCTATACCTACGTGCAGGGAGGGGTACAAAATTTTAATTATTTTTTTAATTCTATGCACAAACATGTTTAAGACAACTCTGTTTCAATTAAAATCTGACAAATAAATTGAAATAGAGAAAGTATGAGTTACTTTGTACGTTGAAGTCGCCTCTAAATACCTGCATTGTTGTACATAATGTCGAGTTGTCCGTGGCTGGAGACGGTGAAATCCACGGCATTGGAGACGTCGGATTCTTTTGTGACATCGCAGACCACAAAGGAGGCGTTTGGCCCGAGCTCGGAGGCAGTTTCTTGGCCGAGCTGATTTTGTACATCTGCTATTACAACTTTGGCACCGTTGTTGATGAATTTCGCGGCTGTTTCTTTTCCGATTCCACTTGCTGCTCCGGTGATGAGCGCTACCTTGCCTTCTAGTTTCCTTGCATTCACAAAATAAATTTACTTTCAAATTTTGTAATCAGAGTAGTCAGGGACGGCCAGAAGGTCAAGCCATTAAAAGAAGGTTAACCTCAATCGATCCAAAAAAAATTAATTTAATTTCGATATCAATCATGAATTTCTTGATTAATTAGATTTTGAAACATACAAGATCGATTAAAAAGAAAAACACTTTCAAGCAAGACTTTTTATTTTTATTTTGAGGCTTGAATATAAGATATCTAGTTACGAAATGATAAAACCAAAAAAACACTACTAAATACCCAACTGCTGCTCTCATCCCCGATTTTTCCAGTGTGGAATTTTAGATAGCAACATTTTCCGGTGGGCATACAAATTGTTATAGCTACCAACAAGCCCACCAAACCGATTTCGGATATCTCTAAGTACAATTCGGTTATGATAATGATACAAGTGTATCTCCTAAAATTCATGCATATGTAATGATTTGGGAGACTATCTTAAAATGTATTTATATAAATGATATTTTGCGTGCGTGCGTAATAGTTATATTTTGAAATAAATTGTTACTCCTATATTTAGTAAATATGCGGATTATCACTATGTTTTTCGTAATTATGAACGATATTTATGAAAAGTTATGCGCATCTTAATGGAAATCTATAAACTTTATATTCCTCAAGTATATTATAATTTTTTTTTATCGTGTTCCTTGTCTTTTTACCACTCAAATTATGATACCTGACATGCATGTTGTCTATGCGAATAAATAAAATGACCTCTTGTCATTTTTGTCGGTACAAGAAGATATATCAACGGTCATGTGACATTTAAGAATAATATTCCTTCACTCACATAATGTGTTACAATTATTATTAAAAAAATCAAAGAAATAATAACTATAATTTTTTATATTAATAAAATATTTTAAATTTTATAATTGTTATTATAATCTATAACAATATTTTTATACAATATTAAAATATATAAATTTTTACTTTGAAATATCCAAGAGAGTTAATGTCTTCTTACTTCTCTTTCTAATAGGGAGTATGTAGGATTTTTCGGCATGAATTTAAATTTAATCGAATCCCAATATGAATATCAAATACAAAAAAATCACTTTCTAGAAAGTCGTGTCATATTTTTATCAAAGAGCAAAGCGAAACCTTCACAAATAAATAGCATAAACGAAAGATGCAACGGTTAGCGATCGCGGTGCCTTAATGGCTCGTTCTCATTGGCTAGCTAGATCATTTCAAAATTTTACATCTAAATTTACAACATAAATTTAATAACTTAATCCTCGTAATTCGAACTGTGCTACATAAAGCGGAACATTTGTGTATGTGAAAGAGAAAACACACCTCTCAACTTGAGTAGAGAAGTATTTATTGAAAGTTCGAAGCAGGGCCCTGGATTTGATGCCGCCCCTGTTAATTGGTTCAAAATTAAACAGAAGAAAACAAAAAAATGAGATGTAAAGATAAGGTGCACAATACGAGAGAAAATAAAAACAAAACCGAATATGTCATGATATTTGAAATTTATGATTAAATGCCTACTAAATTCGATTGTTACCAATCAGAATATTATTCTCTCCGTCCACAATTGTTTGGCAGGTATACTAAAAATAGATGTCCAAGATAAATTGTCAATTTAAACAATCAAGAAATAATTAGTCACTTTTTTTCAATTCTGCCCTTAATGATTGTGTAGTTCAATTGAAAAGTTATGTGGACTTTTGGTATTCTTGATACAGTAGGGTTATATTAGTGAATTACACTTTGTATTAAATTTTCCTTGAGGGATGTGCATGACCTTACCCTGACAAACAATTGTGGACAGAGGGAGTATTTTTTTCCCCACATCTAACTAGCTGTATTCAGATTTCAAAATAGAGGCGGATTTAGAATGAATTCTGCAAATTCATGAACTGAATTATTGCTTTCATATACATATAATTAGATTATACTTATTCCATATTTAGCTTTTCTATGCTGTTAGAAGAATTGATGAGAGTGAAGAGACAGAACTGACCTTGAAGCTAATCTCAGCATGTTGGCTTCTTCTTTTTCTTCTTCAATTAGATGTAGTGTTCAGAGAAAACTGAATCTCATTACTCACTCTGTCTCTCAAGTCAATTGGGTATTAAATGATTAGATTAACTAGTATTTATTGACAATTGACAATAAAATTATATGGTCAGTTTATTTTTAGAAATGTTATTAATTAATATTCATTGATAGTGGACAACAAAATTATATTCTCTATGTCCACTTTTATTTGTTATGTTGTACTTTTCGAAAGTTAGTTTGACTAATTTTCAAAGTTAAATTAGATTACATTAATTTGATATTTAGATATTCAAAAACTATACGAAAAGTACTATAAATTACAATTTTTTGCATATCAATATGATGAAAAAATACATCACAAAATATTAGTAAAAGTTTTTTTATAGTTTGACTCTAAAAAGAAAAACTGTGACAATTAAAAGTGGACGAAGGTAGTACTATCAATTTATTTTTAGAAATATTGTAAAGTATTTTTATACTTTCTTCGTTCATTTTTACTTGTTACTTATTCCTAAAATAGATTTTCAATTTTACTTGTTACTTTTGACATATGAAGGAAAGACTATTTTTTTCATGTTTTAACCTTAACATTAAATATTATTTTCCAAATCATTTTTTGAGATCTAGTAATACTAAACGCCATTTAATAGGGATAGTATGATAAAATACCTATATCAATTACTATTTTCTTAATATGTGTGTCAAGTTAAACAGTAATAGTAAAAATGAACGGAGAGAGTTTATTATTAATATTTAAATAAAAATAACAAAAAAAAGTATTATTAAGTAAGTTAGATCCTAAATTAATTATATGAAATTTGTTTAGGATATTTACTAATTGCCTTACTAAAAATAAGGACTTCTTTTACTATTTGTCTTCGTCATCATTATTCTCACTCTACTTCAACACTATTAAAGCAATTTAAGACAATTACCAACCCATACAAAATAATTTTAGTTTTAAATTATTATTAATTATAAGAATTTGACTAGTGGAATTTAATCTCTTTTATGTCTCAATCCATCCAACCATAATTGGTCAGATTTGACTAAGTTAAATACCCTATATTTTAGACTACTCTAACAAAGAAATGAAATTGATTTGGACATCCAACTCAATTTCATAAATTAACTTGCACTTGAGAAAGTACTGTGTCATTGCTTGGCTTGCACTACTTGAAAGTGCTCCTCATATATATTTTAAACTTTCGTGTTTCTTAAAATAAAAAGTTAATTAGTTCTTCTAATGAGACCAATATTGTTACCGTTTTACTCGTGTAGCATAACTTTCAAATAACTAGTGTGGTGATTGTCTCATATACCTTAATTATAATGGTGTAGGTTTGTTGCTTCAATGGTGTTGAAGAAGAGCATGATGAATAATAACGATAAATATAAATCGTAAAAGAAGTCCTTACTTTTAGTAAGCCAACTAAAAATATGGTGATTGCTTCAATGGTGTATATCTATTGTTTCAATGGTATTGACGAAGAGCATAACGATATACAATAATTAATTTAGAGTCCAACTTACATTATAATATATATTTTTTTTTTATATTAATAATATGGGAAAATACATTACAATATAAGAGAATTTTAGAAATAGCTAACATAATAAGGCTCTATAGCTATAGTTTTGATAATTGCGCTTTATAGCTATAGTTATGTTTGTGTTGTAATGTGAAGAAATAAATGGTAGTTAGGTAACACTGTTAGGATCAGTTAAGGGTAGTATAGTCTTTACATGAGTTAGTTATAACTAATATTCTAGTTGTTAGTTACAGTAAGATTAGTTACTAATAGTGAAATCATGTATAAATAGCTACTTTACTCATTGTAATCAGTAAGCTTTACTCAATGAAATATTCTTCTTCCTCCTTAGATATTTTTTCTCTCTTAATTCTAGATTCTTTTTTTACAATTATGGTATCAGAGAAGCCTTCACAGTAGCTACTGTTGAAGACGATTTTGGTATAGAATCAAAGGATTACTGTCGATCCATTGATTCATTGTTGTTGATTCCCTTCAGCAGTAGATTTCAATTTGAAATCTGTATTTTGCTTCCGCGAAAGGAGATTCTGCAAAAACAGTTCCAATCCTGAGTTGAATCAGAGTTTGTTCAATGGCTCCTGATAATGTAGCGGTGGATCTGTCTCAGAATCTCAACATTGGTTAAACCAGTGGTACATCTGCTCATAACAATGGCAGTTCTCTTTCAAATCAAGGTATTGATTATAATCATCCTCTGTTTTTGAGTCCTACTAATATTAGTGGGATCAACCTGATTTAGTTTCAGTTGACTGGTATTGAAAATTATATGTTGTGGAGTAGATCAATTCAGTTAGCTCTGTTAGGGAGAAATAAATTAAGGCTAATTGATGGTAGTTGCTGGAGAGAAGTATATGGTGAAGAACTATGGGGACATTGGGAAAGGGTTAATGTTATAGTATTATCTTGGTTGATGAACTCTGTTTCTAAGAGTTTATTAAGTGGCATTGCCTTTGCCTCAAGTGCTATGAATGTGTGGAATGATTTGAAGGAAAGATTTGATAGGGTGGATGGATCCAGAACATACAGTTTGCACAAAGATATAGTTTATTTACAACAAAGTACTGCTTCTATTTCTGTGTATTTTACCAGACTTAAGACCTTGTGGGATGAGTTTGAGGTGTTGGTACCATCCCCTTGTTGTAATTGTGAGAAATCAAAAGGATTTGTGGAACATATGAATAGGCAGAAGTTGTACCAGTTCTTGATGGGACTGAACGAATCATACCATCAGGCTAGGAGCCAATTCTTATGATGAACCCATTGCCATCTATTAATCATGCCTATGCTATGATTGTGGGAGATGAAAGTCAGAAGGCAGTCGTTCACACATCAAACAGCAGTATGGGACTAAATTCAATCAGTATGGAATCTATTGCCCTATATTCCAAAGCTGGTAGTAGCT